TGATTCTGTATCTAAAGAATTCATATGTTAATTAGATGAGTAGGATAGCACATAATCCCACGCAAGGCAAATGCAGGAAATCGCTCGCCTTCCTAAGGCCGAGCTTCATCTCGTATATAGGGCACGTATTATGCATCGCTATAATAGAGTATAATATGAAAATACGCTTAAACATGTACATTAACGCTAAAATGATCCCGGGAGAGGTGACGGCTATTTAATAGAATAATTTCGCGTCTTATACATGAAACAAAATAATTGTTTTCCAATTGAGAAGAAAAATTCCAAATTAGAATTTTTACCTTGCTTTCACAACTTACGTTATTAATGTAGATAAAAAATTTATAAGAACGTAAACTTCTCGTAGATAAAAATATTATACTTTGCGGTTAAAACTAATTTGATCGATTTCTAATGTTAATTATGATTTTATTAAGATAAATATTTTCTTCCTATGTTAAAGTATTGTTTTTATTTTAAAATATATACAAAATTTTATTTATTAATTTTTCTAGCCTGTATAAAATTTCATACAGAGATCTGATTGAAGGTTTATTGCCAAAATGTACAAGTGCCGAGAAAAAAGAATGTAAAGCATCGTGATGCCTCATCGATAAAAAAAACAGATTGGACGGTTTCTATAGTCCGCATCGTGTCACGCAATGAGTCATGGGGTTCGTGAACGACACTCTTGAAGAGACCCTAATTAAGCTTTATACAGTGAAACGTCCGCGTTCTACGTTTCGTAAAAGTAATGAACGTCATCTTTTTAGCATTTCCATTTTATCGACGTGCATCTGTTTGATTGACTAGATATAATCATTACATTATTAATAGAGAGAAATTAATATTGCTTTCATTAAATTACTCAATGCTTTGTCGAAATTTTTATAAAAAAATGGTGATTCAACACCAACAATAATCTTTCTGAATGAGTTTTTAATAAGAAGTATACGCATACAAAATTTTACCAAATATATAAAAATAACTTATTGTCAGTATCGTGCGGGAACATCATATTTACGATGCGAGAGTCACATTGTTATTTCGAAGACGAGACGTAAGTCGACGGCATTATCGAGTTCAAAGTCGAGTGGAGTATCATTCTCACAGTTGAGTCACTCTACGTATAACGTGTTTAACAAGCGCGATCGTTTGCAGCCGCGAATATAACGTAGTTTGCCCGCAGTTGCTTGCTTTCATGTTTATCAATGGGAAGATTTATAATGAAACGGTATATCTCGCGACGAACAATACCAGATGTGTAATTTTTAGACAAACGGCAGGAAGGAAAGGGGAAAAAGAGAAGATGAGTTATAAAAAATTTCTAGATAATTTTATTAATTTTTAAAACGCGCGTAAAATCATACAGACACACACATACACACACACACACACACACACACAGGAGGAATTTTTGCGCGTAATCCACACATTCACGACTGCGTTAATCCCGGGCGATCCAATATATCAGTTCACGTGTAAAATCTCGCTTGACGAAAATCAAATTGTCACGAACGAACGATTACAGTAAATTGAATAGACCTAACGAGTTTCCAGGAGATTAGCGGAAATGGCGAACGTTGTAAGAGTGTGAAACAAGCGGATGCGGAATCAGAATGAGACGCAGCTGGAAACCTTGGTTGATCGAAGGGGGATTTCATAAGAGAAAAAAATAAAAAAAGAAAACTTAACTTTTCATAGGAAAATTAAAAAAAATATTTCTAATATCAAAAAATCTCCAAGTATTGTATACATTTCACTCAGATATGGTTACAAATCGGAGCGATTTATCATATTATTTTATTCATTACATCTATCTATATCTGTTGGCAAAAATTTAAAGATTTAACTAGATCATTAGATATGGAGAGGTTTGTATTAATATATTAATAATAAATCACGCAAATTTATAACGAAGAAGCTCCTCTAATAATGCCGGATGGCAATGTATCATTGAATGAAACGAGAATAATATTATAAAAAAAGCACATATGCTTATATACGCTTTTTATTACAGAGACACGAAATCGCGCAGGCGTGGCATCAATCTTTATAATCATTCATTCAAGCATCGATCAAACAATGCAAACGGGCAAAATTCCTTGTAAGCTTTCAAGGATGAACATGGCCTGTTGCCAAGTTATCGCTTAAATAATGCTCTCAAATTTATCATTTTTACTACGCGATACGCGATGATATCGTATGCAACTATGTATCTGGTATCTCTCTCCAGCATTATGACAGTTTAGCATCGACATTCGTTCAATTAATATAACGTTGAATGCCGTCCAAAATTATTATCATTGTACGATGTGTTTATATTTCATACAGCTTTGTCGTTAAAAACTTTCGCGTATCTTTAAAATGTACAGATATTTTCAGATATTCAAACGTTAAATAACTCACATATACAATTTCTTTTAAAAACACTTACGATTGCGTCGTATATATATTAATCCCATATCACGCCTATATATCCAATGTTCATGTTAATACCATTTATAATCTACCAAGTCGCGATGCTTTCACACAAGTAAAAAAAGTAGGTAAAATTGGTGAGTGCACTTATGAATTACAAAACAGATTTTACAAGGCATTATGATATATATTTGAAGAGCGTATCGTTTTAAAATTTCGAATCGAGCATTTATTTCGTTTTCTCGTCTTGAACTTTTAAATGTATATTCATATAGGAGAAATTAATTGTTACGCAGTGTTTTAAGATAGATTTATACCTTACAGCTTACAGCTGTGCCAATGAAATCTCTCTCATTGTAGGAATATACTCGATCAGCATTATGTCGAGTAAGTGACATTCTTGCCATCTTTCTTCTCGAGTCATTTCCTGCGTCGCGGTGACTCACGTGAGTCGACTGCGGATTAAAACACCACGATTCTTCATGATGGTTTGTGATATTTGTTGAGAGTCCAACAGGGATCGACCGCAAAATAATGTCTTGAAATATAAAAATATACACAACGGGTGTGGCAATAGAGCTACCAAAAGAGCGATGAAAAAATTTATTTTTCTCATCTTATTCAAAGTTTAATTTTTGTTTTATCCAAAGAAATTTTCATTTTAAAATTTGATGAGTATATGTATGTGGGTGTCCACGCAACTGGACCGAGCTGTATTTTTAAGTGATTAGAGCGTTTAAAATCATTTAATTTTGCCTTATAATATTTCTTTGTATCTCTAATTACATTTTAAAGATACAATTCCGTCTAGTTGAGTGGGCACTCTGTGTGTGTGTGTGTGTGTGTGTGTAATCACATATATCAGTAAGAGAATTGTTTTTTTCATCAAACAATAAATTGCTATAAATACGAACAAATTAAAGATTATGAGAAACGCCGTCTTTTTTCAACACTCATCTGCACGTGTCTTCAGGGCAATATTTTTATATGTTGTTCTTCCAGTTTTCTCCTTGTGAAATCGATAGATATTTAAATATTTCCCTCGAGTGCACTTGAGTAAAAATGAAAATTAAACTTTAGATAAAATTAGAATCAAAATTTGAAATTCGAAAAAGAAAATTTTAAGTCGCTATTTTTACAATTGTATCCATCGTATTTTTATATTTCAAGACAATTTTGCTTGCGGTCAGACTCAACAAGAATCACGAAGAGAACCATGGCTCGAGTTTCCCTCGTGTTTAGTTCTCCGTCTCCCGTATTCCCCTCGATACTTTTAAAACGATTAATCTCTTATTCTTTTCTCCCGTCGCCGCATTACGGACTAACAAGATTCATGTCAACGCTCTGATTTAAAAGATCGTAACTTCAAGTTTCAAGCCATATACCGCAGCAGATATTACTTTGAAAATCTTAGTATCTTAATTAATAGGCAAATCTTAGATTGACGAACATATTACTTGTATTCGGATTTTCTTTTCTATTATAGAAAAGGGTAAATAAAAAATGTAATGAAAAAAAAGATAGACAAAAGAAAAAGAATAAATTAATTACATTCAATTAAAAATCTTTTCTCTGTAATTATATTCTTGTACATTTTATGCATCTTGTTTATGTATTTTTGTCCTTTTTTCTTTTCTCTCATAAAACCCGAGTATGCGTCCATTTTATTTTACAAACAGCGAATGCTGAGGCAGCATTGAGAAGCAATATATATTTTCCCTGCATTAGTCATATGCAATTTTTCAAAAATGTTTCTACGTAAACTATAAAATTTCTGTCTTCTTGTAAAAAAAAAAAAAAAAAAAAAAAAAAAGAAGAAGAAGAAGAAGAAGAAGAAGAAAAGAAATCTGGTATCGCGGTTAATTCTGCGTAATGTTTACGGGAACGGCTCGTATATAGGAGCGTCAAGCGTCAAGTTCCGCGTAAACGATGTTCACGCGAAACTTGGCTACCGTCGCGTACCGCGAGCTCAGCTCGGGCTCGGGTGGGCCGTGACCGTAAGAGGAAACGCTTGGTTGCCCGGTGTGGGACGGGGAGAAGGAGGAAGCCGGTCGTTCGTTTTCTCACTCACCGGCTCGTTGGGAAAAATCGCGAGAACGGAGGATAATGAGAGGAAGAAACGCCCGTATATGTGTATGTATGCGTGTGTGAATGGGCACTCGAGCGCGGATTCCGGTGTCCTCCGGTAGACGCGCTAAAACGATCTCTACTCAAACCACGATAACGGGAATCCGCTTACCGATCCGCGAATGGACCGTAGAGTCCAGTGTGTCTGCGACACGTGCGCGGCAAGGAAAGACTACCCGATCGGAATCCTATCTCGATTTCGATCCTCGCGAGCACGGGCGACGGACAGAGCCACCGCTGCCGCTACCACCGCCGTTGTCGTAGTCGTCGTCGTCGTCGTGTAAAAAGATTTCCGGTCGGTCGGTCGGTTCGGCCGGTTCGGCGTGCCACGCCACGGCGATGCACGGCGATGCACGGCGATGCACGGCGCCTTCTCACGAGAGAGGACGCAAAAGGAAGGGGGGGGGGGGGGGGGGAATCTTTTTTTAGAAGCCGCACAAGTCGGTCCTTACCTCTTGTGCCTCCTGAATACCCCACGCTTCGCTCGCGGAACGCAGTATCCTCTCCTGTGGATTCACTCGATAATTCTTCTGCCTCCTCTTTGTCGTTCTATCTATCTCTCTCTGTCGCTCGCGCAAGGCGGCTCTCGACGGCTCTCAAGCGCGCATACACACACGTATGCACAAGCGCTCCGTATATCTTTCTCTCTTTCTCTCTTTCTCTCTTTCTACCTTTCTCCTTCCCTTTCACTCTTCTTCCGTTGTCTCCGTCTCGCGTGCAACGCTCTGTCCTCTCGCTCGCCGCTCTTGGTCGTTGTCGTTCGTCTCTCCCTCTCGTCGCGACGACCGAGATTTCCCGTCGATTAATAGCGGCTATCTCCTGTGCACGCTCTCTGCCCCGATTCGGCTTCCTCGTCGTTGCACTCTGTCACGAGTTCATGGGGAGAGCCGTGTGTGCGTAGAGAGTCGCTGCGCCTTGTTCGTTTTCGCCGTAAACGGTTTTTTTTACATAGCCAGCCAAACGATCGAATAGCGAGAATCGCGAAACGCGTTGCGTTCCCAACACTTTGACCGAAGTCGAATCGAGTCGAGTCGCGCCACAAACGTGAATGACGAGTGACGAGATGCCGATACCGGATACTCGGAGTCTCGTTTCGCCCCGACGTAGCTCGTACCGATATCTCGGTTACTGCGGGCTGCCGATCGATCGTAGCCGAATGACTTGTTCACAATTCACACTCTCGAGTCTCGAGGATCTCAACGAAGATGACGACGACCCTGTTACGCGGGCGGACGCGCCTCTCTCCTTCTCTCTCCCTCCTGTTGCCGCCAATGTACCCCCGCGTCGTATCGAGATTTTCACACTCGCGAAAAGACAACGCGACAGGCGACACTAGACACTACGCTGCGCGATTCTACCGTTATCTAGGGCGATGTCTCCCCGCCGTTCGCCGCAGCCGTGCCCTCTATCATCTAACACGCAGCGTCGCTACCATCAACGAGTTGTTGGTTGTCGCCAAGATGCGTAGGTGGCGGCTCTGTTTTACCGACGCGTCTACTGGAAATCACTAAGGGATTAGCGAATCTGGGGGCCTATTAAGCCCGTATCAGACTACGCATTGAAGATTGAGATTCAAGATTCAAGATTGAAATTTGACCAATCAGGACAAAGAAATTTTAGTCTCTTTTGTTCTGATTAGTCAAATTCCAATCTTTAATCTTTAATCTTTCATTTTCAATGTGTAGTCTGATACGGGTTTTAGTGCCGGTCTACAATAGGTGATTTAAGATTTAGCCTTTGTTTTAAGAGAAAAATTACATCGATCCTAGCCTCAAGCTCTAAGCTTTAAAAGATGGGAGTTGGCCAACTCGCTTAGGGCTTAGAGATTAGGGCTTAAGGCAGCGCGAAAAATGTTTAAGGCCGGAAATACGTCACAGTTTAGAGGTTAAGTCATAAGGCTTAGGGCTTAAATCGCCTATTGTAGACCGGCACTTACGGTTCTTGAAACGAGGTGAAAATTACAAGAGTGAACAGATTTACTAGAAATCGACAAATGAAATTGTAGATACTCTAGTGAATTTCCTCACTTTTGTAATTTTCACTTCTCTTCAGAAACCGTAATAGGCTCCCAGATGCGACGCTAGATCGAGTTAATAAATTATTAGATTCTTTAATCAAAGTCACGTGTCATTAAGCTCGTATCAGACTACGGATTGAAAATTGAAGATCGAAGATTAAAAATTAGAATTTGACTAATCAGAAGGAAAGGAACTAAAATTTCTTTGTTCTGATTGGTCAAATTTCAATCTTTAATCTTCAATCTCGATCTTCAATATGTAGTCTGATACGGGCTTTACGGGAGTCCAGCATTTTTTTCATCAAAATCCTGTGCTGTGTTCCGATTCCCCGAATATTCGACGGAATAATCGACTGTGATTGGTCGATTTGCTTGCGACTGGCGACATGCGATCAATGTAGAACGGGCTTTACGTATACTATAATATCGGGTGCACCCGGATGAGAAATCGGAACACAATCCAGGGTACCGATCATGTAACTTTTTCCCTAGGGCGAAAACGTGAAAAATATTAGCATTAAAACCAATGGCAAAATTTTTCACTTTTCCGCCCTAGGGGAAAAGTTACATAATCGATACCTTGTAGCGGGATTCTCTAACGTCCTAACAACAATTGTCGTTATCGTTAGCGAGCGCCTTTCACCAAGATTATCCTTGCCATTGGCTGTCGCTAGTTTACGATACCGAAAATTGTTGATAGCAAGTTATTGAATCTTGCTACTGCAGGAGAAAGAAAGATATGTGCAGTCTCGACATGGGGTTTCACGCTATAATCTTTTGTCCCGATTGGTCAATCGAAACGAAACTAGCGAATCGATAAAAAATAACGGACCAATTACAAGCTGTGTTTTGAAGTGCTCCGAGTAGAGGATTTCTAGTAAATTACTGGAACTGTGGGTTCATTGGTGATTTTCTATATGGAGAGAAATAAAATCACCAATGAGATGTTAGGAAGAGACAGACATAGGCCTCCGATGTAGTACCTCTCTTTCTACAGCGAGCGCGCGTTTGTCTATCGCAACGCTCAGTCCACTTTAAGCCCGAATCACACTAGCGGCTCGCGGCTGCAATTGCGTTTGTGATTGTGATTTGCTACGCTCCAATCATACTTGCAATTGGTGCTTTCTGATTGGCTGAGGCAATCGCAATCGCAGCCGCTAGTGTGATTCGGACTTTATATGTTATGGACAAGCCATACTGATTGGTCGCCATTCCTAGAAATTTTATATTCGATAGCCAGTAGGTACGTTCGACAAAGTGAGCTTTCCAGCAAGAAACACACAATGACACAATTGCTATCAAATAGAAAAATTTTCGAGGCTTTAATAATTCTTTATTTTTATTCGATAGCTTCACGAATTGCATGAGAGACAGAGAAAGACAGAGAGACATTGTGTCTACCTGTGTTTTTTTCGCTCGAAAGCTTGTCATACGATTAAAGCCCGTATCAGACTACGCATTGAAAATTGAAGATCAAAGATTGAAATTTGACTAAACAGAACAAAAGGAACTAAAATTTCTTTCTCTTGATTGGTCAAATTTCAATCTTGAGGGCCAATTTCACCAAGTCCGGTTAATAGCGTTTTCGAATGAACGGGTTAACCCAACTCGGTTCAATTAATCACTATATTTTACTGTGAATTCAAGCCATTTATTGGCGGAGACGATGCAATGACGTCATTAATCGCTCTGAGAGCGATTAAACCCTGCTACATTCGAAAACGTTATCAATCTTCAATGTATACAGGCTTGATACAGTCTGATACAGGCTTAATGCAATAGCGATTTAAAAATGCTTCGTCAAACTGTTTTGATTGGCTATCGACTAGAGAGAATTTCTAGGATTGTCAAAGTTTCTTCCGTCATCAGCCAATCGGTACATCCGTTTCGTACAGTTTCGTTCCCTCGTCGTACGACAAATACCAATAACACGCAGGCCTCGATTATACCATATTTTGCCTGAGATTGTGGTAACTTTAGGCCGTCTCGTCTCCCGTCTCATTTCACTTTGCGTTACCGGTAAGGGTAGTCACGGATATCTCTCGAGTAATGGAGCGATAATTCGCTCCACGTTAATTCGATTAGATCTCGCGGTCCCGAAATACGTTGTTCGTTCTTCGTAACCGACGTTGTACTGTTTCAGGCAAATCACCGTTAAACTGGCTACGTAATACGCGTTTATTACTTGGCCGGATTTCTTTATTACGGTAGAGTAAGTAGCAAGCTTCTCAAAAACTATCCTGTGTGCTCGCTGTATCCTAGTGTTCTCGACGTGTCGAGAGAAACGTGTGCCTTCCTTCTCCCGTAACGCTTTTGCCTTCGCTCTCGCCTTTCGCTTCCGCGCGCTGATCTTTCATTCCATTTTTCCTAGTTTCGTGTTATTCATCACGCAACTGTCCTTTCTCGTCCTGTCGCGAGTCACGATATGCAGATGTTGGGACCCCGAGCCGTGAGCCCCGATGTGAGAGGTTAGCGATCTCGTGACGTGTCAAGTTAACACTCCGTTCCATATGATGGTGGTCGCTGTCTCAGTTACTGGTCATTGACATTGCTTCCTGCGCTTAACGTGCATTTGCTCGTCGTCGAGTCTCTGTTAATATATTTATCCGATCCACAAAATTCGTCAGCTTTGAAGAAAGCCTCGGGAGCGCTTTACGACGGAGGCGAATCGAATTTTTACAAGTCGAGACTATCCCGGAAGGGTTCGCATATTGTAACGAGTTTAGATGAAAAAAAAAAAAGAAGAAATATACATATATGTATATATGTCGTTGCGAAAGTCTAAATTACCGATTCGAATCGGTTCCTGTGAAAATATTTAGGTACAAACCCTCGCGATTATACCTCCGGGAGAAAATTTATTATCGATATAAAAATTCTCCCCCTCCCCTTATCCAACGTTTTACCGCAGCGATTATTTATCTTTTCATTTGTCGCAATATCAAGACTTTTAACAAAATATCATGCAAGAGACACATGGTATAACAATAAATTTAAATTTCACCTTTTATGTCAATCTTCTTTTCTCATATCATTATAATTCCATTTTTCCTTTATGCAATGCAACA